GAAACTATTATAAACAACTATACCCTAAGAAACTGGAAAATCTAGAGGAAATAGATAAATTCCTAAAAATATATAACCTACCAAGATTGAATCAGGAAGGAACAGAAAATCTGAACAGATCAATAATGAGTAATGAGATTGAATTAGTAATAAAAAGTTTTCAAACAAAGAAAAGCCCAGGACTGGATGGATTCACAGCATAATTCTATCAAATGTATAGAGAAGAACTAATAACAATCCTCCTTAAAATAAAACTACAGGACAGTATCTCTAATGAACATAGACACAAAATTCCTCAACAAAATACTAGCAAACCAAATCCAACATCATATCAAAAAGATAATACACCATAATCAAGTGGGATTTACACCAGGTATGCAACGTACAAACCAATAATGTGATACATTGTATCAACAGAATAAAGGACAAAAAGCTTATGATCATCTCAATAGATGCAGAAAAATCATTTGATAAAATTCAACATTCCTTCATGATAAAACTCTCAAAAAATGAGGCATAAAAACGTACATCAAAATAGTAAAGGCCCTATATGATAAACCAATAGCTAACATCATCATGGGAAAAATCAGACTCTCCTTTAAAACTGGAACAAGACAAGGATGCACATTTTTGCCACTCTTACTCAACAGAGCGCTAGATGTTATAGCCAGTGCATCAGGTAAGAGAAAGAAATAAAAGGGATTCATACTGGAAAGGAGAAAGTTAAGCTGTCCCTCTTTACAAATGACACAATTTATATATAGAAAAACCAAAAGATTCCACAAAAAAATTTTAGAAGTCATAAACTGAGTAAAATTGCTAGATACAAAATCAACATACAAAAGTCAGTAGCATTTCCATACAGCAAAAATGAAATCACTGAAAAAGAAATCAAGAGGGCAATCCCATTTACCATAGTTACACACACACACACACACACACACATACACATACACCCACCCACCCACCCCTACCTACCTACCTAGGAATAGACTTAACCAAGGCCAAAGATCTCTATAAGAAAAACTACAAAATACTGAAGAAAGAAATTGAAGAGCACACACCAAATAGAAAGGCATTTCATGCTAACAGAGTGGAAGAATTAATATTGTCAAAATGACTATACTACTCAAAGCAATCCACAGTTTCAGTGCAATCTCTATCAAAATACCAATGTTATTTTTGTCAGAAATGAACAAAATCTTTCAAATGTTTATGAAACCAAAAACAGAATTTTCAAAGCCATCCCAGGTAAAAAGTGTAAAGCTGAAATGATGACATTATCTGACTTCAAAATGTATTATAAGCCTACAGTAATCAAAATAGCATGGCACTAACATAGAAACACACACTGGCCAATAGAACACAGTAGACAACCAAGAAATGAATCCATATATATATATATGGATTCATTTATGTATATATATATCTCCAACTGATCTTTGATAAAGCCATTAAGAATGTACATTGGGGAAAGGACACCCTTTTCAATACATGGTATTAGAAAAACTGGATAACCATATGCAGAAGAATGAAACTGTACTTCTATCTCTCACCATATACAAAAATCAACTCAAGATGATTTAAAGACTTAAACGTAAGACTTGAAATTATAAAAGTACTGGAGGAAAATATAAGGCAAACATTTTAGGACATTAGTCTAGGCAAGCAAAGATTTTATGAATAAAACATCAAATCACAGGCAGCAAAAAAAAAAAAATAGACAAATGGGACTATATTAAAGGCTTCCACACAGCAAAAAAGCAATCAACAGTAAAGGGGCAACCTCTTGAAATAGAGAAAATATATACAATTATTCATCTGACAGGAGACTAATATCCTGAATACACAAAGAACTCAATTTTTTTAAAAAGGGCAAACAATCTTATTTAAAAAAAAAATTGTCAAAGGACATGAATAGATTTTTCTCTAAAGAAAACTTACAAATGGCCAACGGACATATGGAAAAATGCTCAACATCACTAATCATCAGGGAAATGCAAATTAAAACCACAATGAGATATCATCTCACCCTAGAGAGAATGGCTATTACTAGAGACAAAAAATCATAGATGTTGGTGAGGATGTGGAGAGACAAATTGTTATATAATGTTCGTGGGAATGTAAATTAGTACATCTATTATGAAAAGCAGTATGAAGATTTCTCAAAAAACTAAAAACAGCACCATCACACTATCCAGCATTCCCACTACTGTGTGTTTATCTAAAAGGAAATAAATCAATATATGAAAGGCATACATAAACTTCTACGTTTATCGCAACACTACTTTTTTTTAACTTGGGATACATGTGCAGAATGTGCAGTTTTGTTACATAGGTATACGTGTGCCATGGTGGTTTGCTGCACCTATCAACCCATCACCTAGATTTTAAGCCCCACTTGCATTAGCTATTTGTCCTGATGCTCTCCCTCTTCTTTCCTCCCAACCCTGACAGGCCCTGGTGTGTGTGATGTTTCCTTCCCTGTGTTCATGTGTGCTCATTTATTAGCTTCCGCTTATGAGTGAGAACATGCAGAGTTTGGTTTTCTGTTCCTGTGTTAGTTTGCTGAGGATGAAGGCTTCCAGCTTCATCCATGTCCTCGCAGAGGACATGATTCAGTTCTTTTTATGGCTGCATAGTGTTATATGGTGTATATGTGCCACATTTTCTTTATCCAGTCTATCACAGATGAGCATTTGGGTTGGTTCCATGTCTTTGCTATTGTAAATAGTATTGCAACACTATTAACTATAGCAAAGATATGGAATCAGTCTAAGTGTCTATCAACAAATGAATGAATAAAGAAATATGATATATAGAGACAATGGCATACTATTTGGCCATAAAAAAATTAAAATTATGTCATTTGCAACTACATGGGTGGAACTGGGTAGAGGTCATTATGTTAAGGAAAATAAACCAGTCACAGAAAGAGAAATATTGCATTTTCTTACTTATGTGTTGGAACTAAAATCATTGCTCACATGGAGATAGAGTGGAATGATGGATACCAGAGACTGGGAAGGGTACATGAGTGGCAGTGGGGATGAAGAGAGGTTAATGGGTACAAATAAACAGTTCAATAGAAGGAATAAGCTCTTCTTTGATAGATGAGTAAAGTGACTATAGTTAACAACAGTGTATTGTACCTTTTAAGAAAATGAGGAGAGCTTGAAATATACCCAAAACATACAAATCATACTCACAAGATAGATACTCTAAAGGTCCTGACTTAATCTTTATACAGTTTATTCATGTAACAAAATTTCACATGTACCCATAAATATGTACAACTACAATAATAAAAAATTGTTTTAAATTTTTAAGTTCTGGGGTATATGTGTAGGATATACAGGTTTGTTACATAAGTAAATGTGTACCATGGTGGTTTGCTGCATCTGTCAACCTATCACTGAGGTATTAAGCCCAGCATGCATTATCTATATTTCCTAATGCTCTCCCTTCCCCCTCCATAACCTACCAGACCCCATTGTGTGTTGTTCTCCTCCTTATGTCTAAGTGATCTCATTGTTAGGCTCCCACTAAAAAGTGAGAACATGTGGTGTTTGGTTTTTGTTCCTCTGTTAGTTTGCTAAGGATAATGGCTTCCATCTTCATCCATGTCCCTGCAAAGAACATTATCTCATTCCTTTTTATGGCTGCATAGTATTCCATGGTGTATATGTACAGAATTTTCTTTACCCAGTCTATCATTGATGGACATTTAGGTTGATTCTATGTTTTTGCTATTGTGAATACTGCTGCAATGAACATAAGTATGCATGTATCTTTGTAATAGAATGATTTATATTCCTCTGGGTACATACCCAATAATGAGATGGCTGGGTCAAATGGTATTTCTGGTTCTAGATCTTTGAGGGATCTACACACCATCTTCCATAACGATTGAACTAATTTACATTCTTACCAACAATGTAAATTTTTAACAATATTAAAAAATGACACACCCATACTGAGCACTTAAAATGAATAGAGTTTGTAGGGGTAGAAGTTGCTTTGGGTGAGTCAGTGGGTGGGTGGTGAGTGAAGGTGAAGGCCTAGGACCTGATTATTGTAGATTTTATAAACACTGTCCACTAGGCTACACTAAATTTTTTTATTATTATTATACTTTAAGTTCTGGGGTACATGTGCAGAACATGCAGGTTTGTTACATAGGTATATATGTGCCATGGTGGTGTGCTGCATCCATCAACCTGTCATCTACATTAGGTATTTCTCCTAATGCTATCCCTCCCCAATCCTTCTACCCTCTGCTATCCTTCCCCTAGCCCCCCATCCCTGGACAGGCCCCAGTGTTTGACATTCCCCTCCTTGTGTCCATGTGTTCTCATTGTTTAACACCCACTTATGAATGAGAACATGCTGTGTTTGGTTTTCTGTTCTTGTGTCAGTTTGCTGAGAATGATGGTTTCCAGCTTTATCCATGTGCCTGCAAAGGACATGAACTCATCCTTTTTTATGGCTGCATAGTATTCTATGGTACATATGTGCCACATTTTCTTTATCTAGTCTATTATTGATGGACATTCAGCTTGGTTCCAAGTCTTTGCTATTGTGAACAGTGCCATAATAAACATACGTGTGCATGTGTCTTTATAACAGAATGATTTATAATCCTTTGGGTATATACCCAGTGATGGGATTGCTGGGTCAAATGATATTTCTATTTCTGGATCCTTGAGAAATTGCCATACTGTCTTCCACAATGGTTGAACTAATTTACACTCCCACCAACAGTGTAAAAGCATTCCTATTTCTCCACATCCTCTCCAGCATCTGTTGTCTCCTGATTTGTTTTAAAAATTATTTCTTAAATAATGAACTTTAGCTTATTATAACTTTTTTACTTTATAAACTTTTCACTTTTTATTTTTTATTTTATTTATTTATTTATTGAGACAGAGTCTTGCTCCATCGCCAGGAGCCAGGCTGGAGTGCAGTGGCATGATCTCAGCTCACTGCAACCTCCAACTTCCTGGTTCAAGCAATTCTCCTGCCTCAGCCTCCCGAGTAGCTGGGACTACAGGCACATGCCACTATACCCAGCTAATTTTTTTTTTTTTTTTTTTAATATTTTGTATTTTTAGTGGAGACAGTGTTTCACCATGTTGGCCAGGATGGTCTCAATTTCTTGACCTTGTGATCTGCCCGCCTTGGCCTCCCAAAGTGCTAGGATTACAGGCATAAGCCACCACGCCCGGCAACTTTTTAATTTTTTAAAACTTTTTGACTGTTTAGTAATAACACTTACCTTAAAACACAAACTCATCATACAGTACTGCAAAAATATTTTTATATGCTTATTCCATAAGCTTTTTTCTTATTTTAATTGTTGGTTTGCTTTTTAAGATTTTTTTTTGTTGTTGTTAAAAACCAAGACACAAACACATTTTACTAGACCTACATGGTGTCAAGGTCATCAAGTCAACAGGCAGTAGGAATTTTTCAGCTCCATTATAATGTTAGGGGATTATCATCATATTGAAGCCATCCTCACAAGGTTAGCAGAAATTTTGGACAGAAATATAGTTATAATTAAGCATTAATTAGGTTGCATTTTGATTCACTTCCTAATAGAGGAAAGTCATGTAACACTAGATACTGACCATCTGCATGCCTACTGTTCCTATAAATAGGATTTCTGATTTAGAATCACAAGGCTTTTATTTTAGATAGGATCACTGATGTTAGAATCATAAAGCTTTTGTTTAAGAATCATTTAAGCAGATCGTGAATTTCAGCAGAACAGCTGACACCAACCAGTTTAGAGACTCTCACAGAGGAACTGAATCAGCATGAGAATACAGTTTCTTCAGCTCCCTGTCCCAAGGCTTCACACTGCACTCTTTGAACAATCAGTGATATCTACACTTTAGCCCACTCTAAAACCCTGAAAAACTCTAGCCTCACACTTCTTAGGGAGAAGGATTTATGGCATCCTTCTGTCTTCTCATTCAGCAGCCCCACAATTAAACCTCTTTCTTATCTGCATCCTGTGTCTTGGCGTATTGACTTGCCATGTGCATTGGGCAACAAACCTATTACTGTTATAGTATATGCAGTCTGTTGTTGAGAGAAACGGTTATGCAGCACATGACTGTATCTGAGCCAAGATACCATAGACTGGCATTAAGATGCAGTCACAACCAGAATTTAGTGGATAACAAGTAGGGGTTGAAGGTAGATTTTGAAATTCAGAGGGAAAATATGTTTTCAGCAAAAATACTTGAAAGTGTCTAAATTTATGTATTAGTTGAGACAATCACTACAAAACATTATTTGGAAATGGAAACAAAACCAATGATATTTTAACAGCTAAATACCCTCAGTACAAAGAAACACTAGTGGTTGCTGCTGATTATACATGTGGGTTGTTCCAAGAGGTTTTTTTTTTTTTTTTTTTTTTTTTAATCTATTATCTAGACTTAGAATTCTCCACACTCCTCCTCATTCCAATGGAAAGAACTGACCAGAATGCAAAGGCCAACATATACTAGTACTGCTATCAAGGAAAATTGCAGTTCTCATTTTATCTCTTTTCTTCCTTCTACCTCATGGGCAGTGGGGAGGGATCCAGCTAGCTTGGGGCCACTAAGGCAGGTTCTGCTGACTGTAATGTGAGTATTTTTAATCAGATTGGTGACAGAGAGGGAGAAAGGCAAGTAGGGACATGGGAATGAAAGACAGGGTGATGCTCTGTGGAGGCTGGAGCTCCTATGCAGAGCTAGACAATTGAGAAATGTCAGCAACTTTCCTTTTTCTCTCTCCTAGCTGCTACTGAGAGTCCACAACTTCCAGGCAAATAGAACAAGGACAGAAGTTTTCCCTCTTGTTTTATAAGTAGCTACATCCTATATTCTATTTTACCTCTTAACCCACAAAGTCTCATATTAACTATCTGGCTTTTACAGAAAACGTTTGCCAGCCCTGTTCTAGATCGGGCTCATTAAGGATGGTAAAAAATTAACTACCTCTCCTCCCATGCATAGCTACGGATAAAGAAAAGCTGTTTAAGTATGAGCACAAAATTAGTGATGCAGAAACTCCTTCCATTAAAGCATCTCAGTGAGAGTCTACTAATTCGATATGCACATTTAAAGACCATTTTTACCACATAGGATGCTGGTGGTAAAATTGGTTTCAGATCACTTTCAGGATTACTGGGCTTTTCATTAGCAAACACAAAGGAAAACACCACGCCACCAGGGTTCTCTTCAGAGTGCTGCAATACTCCACCCTCCCAGGGTAGTCTGGGCCCATTCAATTACAGCAAGGCAGTGCAACAACCACCAAGAAAATTAGCAATCAGCAGATTAGCTTGGGTAGCCTACCACTTCCTACTAATTTGCAGTTAAGCTACTATGTTTTAGTCACAATCACTCTCTTTAGATGGCTCCCTTCTGAATATAGGATCTCATTCCAGGAACAATTGTTTCCCTAGGAACACAAGCAGAAAGACCTACTTAGATTCACTCATTTAAGAAATGATGATAGAAGAGTATGTTTTACCAAAATAAAACATCTCCCTCTAGCTTGTTGCTAGACTATATTTTTAAAGTAAAATACTAAACGAGCATACTTTGATTTGCATTCTAAACTCTGAGTATTGTAAATGTTCTCTTTTATCCAGATGACTCCCCTAGCCGCTGGTTTGTCCTTTTTGGTGAGGAATGCAAAGATGTCATTAGTTCTTTACCAGGCATGACTTGTATAATTATTTTGTCTTCAATTGGAAGCTTCACTACTGTGTTGGTCAGAAGAAAATGAAGTGAATTAAACCATATACATACTTCTCACTTATTTCTATAGCAAAGGAAAACACCTAAAAACAGTGATGGCTGCATAACAGACAACTTCTTCAGGCCTCAGAAAGAGTTACCAGTTTGACTACCAGGTTTACATTAATGAAAGATCCTTGAAATTCATAGGCTGCCTTCATGCAGTTGTTAGTTACCCAATTAGTGTGGAGAGACAAAGAGAAAAAGTTTTGAAAATGTTTTAAAAATGAGAAGAAAGGAATAGATGTGAGAAATACTAAATAAAGCCAGTAATAAATTAATCTACCATTTATTCAACATTTACTATTGAGCTAGATTTAGCAGTAGGAAATTATAATATAAAAACAAATCCACGGTGTCATCAATAATTACATGTTGACAGTCGTAAATTTTTTTAAAGTACTTACTATTTACCAGGTATTGTGCTAGCTAATCCCACATGCATTAGCCATGTAGTCTTTAGAACAACGTATGAAACAGCTACTATTCACAGTTTAAAGATGAGTAAACAGGAGTAGTAGATATGAAGTAACTTATTTGTTAAGGAAAACAACTGGCAAGCAGATGAGCAGTGCATTGCACTCAGGTACTCTTAACATTAAGCCCGATTATTTTAGCTTTATTGTCTATTGGTTTCCCTAAAATTGTTTCTCTGCATTTTTATTTATCATAAATCAATGAAGGCAATGATGAAAAGATGGGGTTGGGTGAAAGATGACAAAACATAACTTTAAATGTTTACCAAAGGCTCTATTGTCATTCTACTTCCCGAAACACTTTGCAGGACAGTATTTGATGGAATAGTTATACTCTCTTGTGCCTAGAGCAGTGTATGTTACATTCCTTAGAATGGGAGGAAATCTGAGACCGAGTAAAGTATTATGTTTTTTTCTCTGCCTCTTATTAAATGTATACACTCTTGCAAATTTAGTGAAGGACCCAGCAAGCACATATGTCACTCTCCCAGGATAAGCCAGATAGCAACCACCTTTGCCATCTAAGGTGTATAATAGTGATACCAGAGTGGGGCAGTATGCTGTAGAGAAGGGTGGGGTCACTGGTGAAGGCTCCACCCTCAGGCCTGTGCCCACGGCCCTGAGTGAGAACGAGAACTCCTGTTTTCATGCCCAAATGTTGCATTTTCCAAGACTACTCTGGTCTGCCATGCCATCTATCCTGTGCCCATATAAACCTGAGATCTTAAGCAGACACAGACACAAGCAGCTGGACATTGAGAGGAGCAGAGGAACAGACCTGCAGATAATAGCTGACATGGGCAGACTAGCAAGGGGTAGGTTAGCCTTGGGCAGCCCGACTCCAGGGGAAGACCACCACCTTCCCATTCCATCCCCCTTTCTGGCTCCCAATCCATGTTTCTGAGAGCCACCTCCACCACTCAATAAGACCTTGCACTCAACCTTCCAGCCCACATGTGATCTGATTCTTCTGGTACACTGGGGAAGAACTCAGGCTGTCACACTGGTCCCCTGTCCTTGCAATAGGGCAGAGGGTCTATTGAGTTGACTAGCACAAGCATCTGCAGACATCATAGCTGAAAGAGCACACTGTAACACACGCCCATGTGGGCTTTGGGAGTCACAGGCCGGATCTCAAAAGCACTCCTCACAGCCTCTGCACCTGCCTGTCTGCATGCTCCCCCTAGGGGTTTGAGCAGCAGACACTCAAGAAGTGAGCCACACCCCTGTCACATGCCCTGTGACGGGAATAAGGAAACTCTACCGTATCAGCAAAACAAATGCTATTTATTGTGAAATAGTTTTGGATAAGGTTCTCCCCACTATAAGACAGCATTCAAAAAAAATTTACAATGCATCCACTTTCCTTTTTAGATTGTGATCTGTATGGCAAGAGTCCATGTTGTGGTTGTGAATCAGACATGGTTTGGGCCTTTAAAAGGTTCATGGTCTAATGGGGGAAAAGAACACATAGACAATTATTAGTTATTTATTGTAATACACAGGATGAGTTAACATGTTAGAAAGTTAAAAAACAACTTTTTAAAATGCCATCTTAAATGGTTCAAAAAATGAGGCAAAACAATCATTCTTCCCTCTGTATGAAAGAATCCGAGCAAGTTTCAGAAGGGAGTAGTGACTTAAGATGTTATTTTAAAAACTAGGAACTTGGAATCCTTCCAGGCTGAGAGAACCACAGCTCTTTTAAAGGCTTGGAATACCTTGAGAAATAAACAAATTTAGCATTCATGGGAAATAATGTTCAAAAGACTGGTATGGTAAGGAAGAGAAGAGAGTGCTTAAGAGGGCTGAAAAGAAAAGGCAGGGACCAGATCTTCATTAATCCTGTACATATATGATACCTCTCATTTTATAGATATAAAATAAAATATTGTAAAGCCTTATAAGGACACAGAAGTGGGGTAAGCACATAGACCTTGGGATTCCTAATGTAGTGTTCTTTCCACTGCACCATCCCAGCATGACAGCCTTGGTAG